TCTGGGGGTGGAGAGACAGCAAAAGTAATAAAAGGAATTAAAAAAAAAACATTTAAAAAGTCCCTGTTAACTGCCAAGCTGGAGAAGCCCCCACACAGATGAAGCCCCTTCAAATTCAAAAAAATACAAAGGGTTTCTGTTTAACTCTTTATTTTCCATACATTAAATTTACTCAGATAAAAACATTCTAAAAATGTACAATTTTACTTTTAACAAAGTATAATAAAACATAAAAATCCCAATACCAGAATACTTGACATTTACAATTCAAAATCAAATTAGCTGAATATTAAATATTTACAAAACTATTTAAAATATTTATAAAGTTACATGCACAATTTGTAATACTAGAAGTGACCGAAGTAAAAGAAATGGCTCAAATGGGAGCAGGAGTTTCCTTCATTCCTAGTGGAAAGTTATGTCCAAGAGAAGCTGTTAATCTGCACTTGAAAACACACAGGATTTGCTTTCTGCTTCAGTACCAACACGTTTCTTGCTTTCGTAAGAAAAAAATTAAAGAGAGCAAACGGGGAGTTCCAAGGGTTTATTACAAGAGATGGCAGCGGGCAGGGTGACCGGGCCCTCAGCCAGCAGAAGCGTTTTCCAGGCTCTTGCAAGTGCTCCGTTCCGTGGATTTCTGGCCAGATTTGCCCACGTCCGTCTCGTTTAACAGGCGTCCAGGCTACCCTGAATCCGCAGCTCCGAGCATCTGTGACCTCCAGCGAGCCAATAAGAGGGCTAACCCGTACGCAGGGCTTTCGGATGACGGCATTTTTATTTTGGGGAGGAGTGTTGCTCTGCCGAATATCACAGACCGCGCTTAATTTTTCAGTCCCTTCGCTCTGAAGCTTGCCAGCGAGAAGTAGCGTGAACCAGAATTTTGGGTAACGGTAAAGGTCTAGTGTTAGACCGCTATTTTCGGAAGTCTGGCGCTTCATTTGCCACGACGTAATGACCGTGGTATGAAAAAGCTTCACAAAAAGCGGAGTGCGCCATGTTATTTTAAGGAAAAGTATTGTGGAAATCTGATCAATACCTCACCTGCTACAATGAGGCTTCCCTCTTCGCTCTCCTGCTGTTCAGCGTCGAGCCTGGCCTATTAATGCTTAATTTGCAGACTGCCAGCGCGAGGAGGGGTTTGCTGGAAATTCCATCCTATTTCGAGCCTTTCCCTCACCGACACTCCCAAATGGAAAACACTTCTGAAACTGCACCGCACGTCGCTCACTCCCCCAGGGAAGACTCATCCCTAACTTCTCCGTGCCCATGCAGGGAGATGACTTGGGATTCCCTTCCGTCTTACATTTAAAAAAATCTTTTCTATTCCGCAGTGGAAACCATTTTGAGAACTAATTCTTTTTATACTTTTAGGACAAAGATAGGAATAAATAGCATTCTTTGAAATCTCCATCTTTCAATGTATAAAAATAGGTTTTAAGAACTGGTTCTTTCAGCCAGTGAAGCTGGAACTCCTATTTTAAAACAAGCTGCCTTACTTTTTGGCGGTGGGGTGGGGGAAGATGGATTTGTGCCTTTTAAAAACAGATTACGGATTATTTTACGGGACTAAAATCCTCTGTTCGGACTTAACCGACTTTGGTTGTTCTCGGTCCAAAGTGGACAGCGTTCAGCAGCAGATCTGAAGCCACCACGCACTCCGATTTAGGGAAGCTCTGCAATTGCTGCTGCCTCATCAAACATTTCTCTATTACGCTCGTGTTGCTTTAAGGTACTCACGACTTCTGAATTTGAACTTACTCTAAAACCAGACTTCACCGTTTAAAAATGTTACCTAAAAGTACACGTAAGCCACTTGAAGAAACATCAGCCTTAACTTTACACAAAGGAAACAATCCCAAAGAAAGCTCTGAAGAAAGGAATGAAACAGTTTGCTGGACAGAAGTTCGGTTTTACAGTCCTTGTGTTACGGTTTCGACTCTGTGATGAATATTAGACGAGACTGTGTGCCCAGCCTTGGGCACGAGAACAAAACGCAACTGGTACAGAAATGATTTTTTTTTTTCCTGTCGATTTTTGCTATTTTGAGAGGGTTTAACACTTGCATGTGTGTTGAAATACAGTTTATTTAAATACAATTCAGTTTTAAAATATTGTTTAAAAAAAGTGAGGGGGGGGGGGGGTAGAAACAAGAGGAGTGGGGGGGGTGGGAAGTTAAGGTTTGGCTTTCAGCACATGTTCCAGGCCACTGGAGAGACCCTCAGAGCTGCGAATAGTAAACATCGTCACCGAAAACTGCGCGTTTCCTTCAGCATAATACAGTATGACGGATTGTTCCTACCATTGTCTCAAGCTCATTAAGGCAAAGTAAATTGCATTGTCAGTTGTCATCGCTGTAGTGTTGTAGGTCTGCGGGTTGTTCGTTAGAATCCGGGTAACCTCCTCCGACGCGGGCAGAGCGAACAGAAGCGTTCCAACAGCGCGTGCAATGCCGCGGGTAGCGCGAGCTGGGCTGAGAATACACAAATCTGATTTTTTTTTTTTTTTTTTGCATTGCATAGGAATAAAAATTCTCTTTTTTTTTTTGTTTTGTTCTTAAAACCCAACGTTATGCAAATTTAGATTTTGATTTCTACAAAGCCAAATCCGCTACGAGCTGCAGATCGCTACCTGGACTGAGTTTGCTTTCTGGCCACCTCCTCTTACCGTGCCTCTGCGGTGATGCTCGTTTATCCTGCCTGCCTCCCCGGCGAGGCTGAGGAAGCGGGCCTGAAAGATGGCCCGGAACATTTCTTTCCTACGAACACGGTCCGGGAAGGTCTCGACCCTCAAGCTGCCGCGTTACCCCCTCACGCTGACGTTTCACCGCTAAGGCCCCATCTCCTCGGGGCAGCTCCGCTCCACTCCAAAACCTCCTCCTCGGATGTGACTTCCCTCGCTTCCAAGCGAAATGTCAGCTGTGCCTCTACAAATACTATTCATCCTGGTGTGGTTTAAATTGGTGTAAGAAATACCTCCAAGTGTAAACAAGGCTTCAGACTTTAAAGGTGTCTTCCAAATTACAGTATGCAAATATCTCTATGTCAGACATTTTAAAGAGAAGGCCTCACCCGTTCAGTGCCGTCAAATTCCTCGGGTGAGCCATGAGGATTAGTATCTTCTTTCAACCAGTCAGGACCAAACTGTTTCAAATTAGCAGTTCAAGATTTGTTTGGCTTCCTCTCAAGTCCTAATTTAGATTTGTCACCCACAAATTATGTACGCTAAGTAGTTAACACCAAA